GTGGGTACTGTTAGGACAGAGGTGCCGCCTTAGCCCGCTGTGACACTGCTTTACTATCATTTAGAGGGGATGTGACTTTTTGCTTCTCCCCCTCCCCGCCTCCAGCTGCTCATGCCAGCGCAGGACTCCCGGGATGCCCCCAGAGAGGTTTGGGTTGGTTGCCTAGGCAAATAACTTGGCATCTCTGCCTGCAGTTACTCCCTGGCCTACGACCCGGCCGACTGGCTGCTGCTGGACCCGCGCTCCGGGATGGTGCAGACCAAGCGGGAGCTGCCACGCCGCTCGCCCTTCTTGCAGGGCAGCTGGTACACCGCTGTCATCCTGGCCAGCGATAAGGGTGAGCTGGGGGGGGCGCTGGCTGAGCCCTGCCGGTGAGTGCTGGGCCCTGACCTGTCTGCCCTTGTCCCCAGCTGACCCGCCGAGCACGGCCACTGGCACCTTGTCCATCGAGATTGTGGAGGTGAACGACCACGGGCCGGCCCTGCTGCCGCTGGCGGGCGTCATGTGCAGCGAGCCCAGCAAGGGGCGGGGGCTGCTGCTGAGCGCCATGGACGAGGACCTGCCGCCCCACGCCGAGCCCTTCCACTTCCGCCTCAGCCCCGACGCCCCCCAGCTCGCCCACAACTGGAGCCTCAGCCAGCTCAACGGTGAGGGCGGGGGGCAGAGCGAGCGCCAGCTGCGATCGCCTCGCCCATGGACGGGAGGCGACAGCCTGAGTCCCGCTCCCCACGGCCCTGCAACAGTGAGGGCAGGGCCGCCCCAGCCCGCCTGAGGGGGAGAGACTTGATCGGCCGGGTGGGTGGAGCCTAGTGGGGGGGGGGGCAAGAGGCTGATCAGTGAGGGGAGAGCGGGGGGGCTGATCGGTGAGGGGGGAGCAGGGGGCACTGATCGGTGAGGGGGAGCAGGGCCCGCTCGGTGGAGGGGAGCAGGGTGGAATGGTGGGGGGGAGCAGGCCCCCATTGGTGAGGGGAGAGCAGGGGGGCCTGATCGGTGAGGGGGGGAGCAGGCCCCCATTGGTGAGGGGGGAGCAGGAGGGACTGACCGATTGGTGACAGGGGAGCAGGAGAGGATCAGTGAGGGGGGAGCAGGGCCCGCTTGGTGGGGGGGGGGGGGGGGGGGGGGAGGGCGCGGGGCCGGGGGGGCGGGGCGGGTGCAGGCACGCGGGGTATCATGGTGTCCCTGTCTCCGCCCAGCGACCCACGCGGTGCTGGCAGTGTTGGTGCCGGTGCCCGCGGGGCTGCACTCCCTGCCGCTCCTGCTCAGCGACTCCGGGACGCCCCGGCAGGAGCGGGCGCAGCTGCTGAACGTCTCCGTGTGCCCCTGCGACGAGGGGGGCAGCTGCCAGGCCAGCGCGGCGGCTGCCTCCACGGCCGGGGCGGGGCTCAGCTTCGGGGCCCTGATGATCATCCTCAGCAGCGTCATCCTGCTCCTGTGTAAGTGAGACAACGACCCCCCCCCCGCCCCCGCTGACCCCCGCCCCAGCCCGGCCCGGCCCAGTCCCACCGCCTCTCTCTGTCTCGGCAGCGCTGGCCCTGCTGGCGGCCGTCCGGGAGCGCTGCCACCGGCGCCCGCGGCACGAGGGGCTGCTGGGGAGCTCGCAGGACGACCTGCGCGACAACATCCTCAACTACGACGAGCAGGGCGGGGGCGAGGAGGACCAGGTGAGGGGGGGGGCGGCCCCCTCACAGGCGCTACGGGGCATGGGCCTGCTCCAGGCAAACCAGCCACACACTTCGCTGCTACCCCAGCCCTGCCCCTGGGTCCCGCCCCACAGCCCCCTGCTAGCCCTGCCCTGCCCCTGGGTCCCGCCCCACAGCCCCCTGCCAGCCCAGCCTGCCCCTGGGTCCCGCCCCACAGCCCCCTGCTAGCCCAGCCCTGCCCCTGGGTCCCG